AGGACGACACCTCTCTGCATCCTCGCTGGTCAAAGTGTCTCAACTACCAGTGGCTGCAGGTCTCCGCTTCTTTTTCTATCAAGTGAAAACAAACATTTTATAACCCAGGCTGGGGGGAATTATATTATTTTTATCATTTACTATGTTCCTCATTTAGCAAATTACACCATGTCAAAGAAACTTAAAGCAACACCATAGTGGTAATTTTATAAATTTCCCATGACCTAGGCCGCCCAAATCCACCTCTGGAAAGTGAAACGTCAACAACTGAAAGTACCGTTCTTTATATTTGTCATATTCAAATAAAGATGCAAAATGTCAAAGTACTTCGTCTGGCTCAGTGCAGATGCTGCTAATGGCTTGGTGTAAAATATCACTCATATCTGCTACTTACCTAAACAATGTTTTAAGTTTACTAGTTGAATAATTGATTCATCTAATAAAACATTTCAGTCTAATAAAAGAAAATGTTTTTATAGGAAGAACGTTGGTTGTTGCAGCTGCAACAATTGGAGGTTCTGAATCAAAAAACTAATTTAAATAAATAGTTTTTAATCTTCTCGCACTGATTTCTTCCTCACACTTGCTTTAATTTAACAAATATTAATAATTACAATTATTAATAATTACTAAATTTTTATTTCATAATGTATATTTGATGATTGTTTTCAGATGGAGTAAACAGAATCACTTAAAATGAAGTAAAATATACTTTCTCTGCTGACATGGAGATCAATGGAAACAATGGAGGGACTAAAATTAAGCTGCAATTAGTTGAAAAACAGCTGAAATTAGCTGAAAAGGAAAAACAAACTTAAATTAGCAGAAGAAAGCAGAAATATATATATTGAAATTAGCTTAAAAACTTTTTACAAGAATTAGCTGAAAATGCTAAAATCATCATCAAAAGAGCTATATGGTAGCTGAAAGAGCAGAAAAAAGCTGAAAGGAACAGAAAAAAGCTGAAATTAGCATAAACAAGTTAATAGGCTGAAAGTAGCAGAAATTACCATAAAAATATTAAACCTATATGAAGTTATCTGTATCTGAAATTATCTGAAACGGCTTAAACTTTACTAAAAAAAAAGCTAAATGGGTAGCTGAAAACTAAGGTAGAACAAGCCAACATAAGAAAGCAGAAAGAAAATGTTTGCTCAATTATGCTGAAAGAAGCAGAAATGAGAACAAAAACTGTGGAAAGCATCTGGAAAAGGCTGAAATTAGCAAAAAAGAAAAAAAATCAGTTGAAAAGTAGCTAAAACTGTAGAAAGAAGCTTAAATTTCTAGAAGGAAAAGGAGAAAACATCTTTGCTGAATTAGGCTGAAAAACATAGGGTGCAAAAAATGTGGAATTAGCCAAAACAGCTAAAATTAGCATAAAAACAGCTAAATAGTATCTGAAATAGCAGAAAAATCTGAAACTTGCAGAAATAAGCTGAAAGGAGCGTAAAAATATTAAATTAGAATAAAAGAAGTTAGAAGCACAAAAATAGTTTATAGTTAGCAGAAAGAACCTAAAAGGATCACAAAACGGCTGAAATGAACTGCAAGTAGCTGAAAAAAGTTAACATTTGCACAAGGAAGCTGAAAGAAGCTGAAGCAGAACAAAATATGAAGGGAGCAGTAAAAGACTGTAAACAGATCTAAAAATCTGAAGGATGTAAAATGAGCTCAGTTCATTTTCTATGAGAAAAAAATGGCAGAAAAGGCTAAATATTTCAAAAAGCTAAAGTTGGCACCAATACCAAAAGTTATAGCACCCTTCTCCTGAAAGAGCTGAACATTTTGATTTATGATTTGTTGAAATAGAGCAGAAGTTGTGAAACGAGAAAGATGCCGAAACAGGTACGGAAGAAAATGGATCACAACGTGTGAACGCTTCGTAAACATTCACACTACGAACAAGCAGATCAAGAAAAACGCCAAAGTCTCAGGACAGAAAACTGAATGCAAAGACTTTACAAGATTACATTTTATTTTGGGGTTATACAAAGAAGGAACGTTCCACTGTAAAACAAAACAACTGTTCTCTTCATCATGGGTGGGTTTTATTCATTTAATTTTTTACATAATATAACAGCTGGACATGCTTCAAGAGTAAAATAATAAGAAGTTACACCTGTAGATAATAAAATCAGTCATTGGGTTTCAGAGTTCAGGTTTACTTGTGGTTATAAAATGTGTTCAGAATGTTTCCTTTAAACAAACATCAGTACATCACAGTTATTTATGTTGGAGCTTAGCCCAGAAAAAATTATTCAAAATGGCACTTTTCTACATTTTCCTGTTCGACTAACAGAGGGAGCACCGTCGATCTGGGATGAACACAAACAACACAATGTTCTAATGTCCAGCTTAGATATACAGTTCACAAAATAAATTACATTTACAAACCTTCGGCTTAGAATACCAACAATATTCATCTTTTAGTGTCAACAGTCGCAAAAGTTACAAATCACACAAACACAGAAGTTTAAAGTGCAAATTATAAATTATATAGTTGTAATAATATAATAAACTGCCGTCTTGAACACCTTCATCTGTTAATATTTTATAAATAAAGAGCATTTTCCTTCACAAACTTGTAGTGTTTTCTTCATTTTCAGCTTCAAAGGCAAATCGTGTTTTGCTGCAGATTTTGCCTCAGTTTGTTTATTGTCTGTTGCAATCAACTTTAAAATGTCCATCTTGCTCAAATATTCAATTCCTGAAGCACACAATGATGTAGAAGATTGATACCACTCTAATATCTGTACTTAATCTTTGAATGGGGCATAGAACTCACTTAATGTTGCATGACGACTGGAAACAGAGGTCTTCAAATGAGATATTTGGAAATTTGCTCTTCCAAGGTTCCATGTTTCCAGATTTCCACATGTTTAACAATAAAATCTAATTACAACCATAGTTATGTTTTATTGCTATTTGGAGGCAATAAATACCTTTAAAAAACACATTTAAAAACTTGAAGATTGACGTGACCTGAAAACATTTAAGACCCTGGAGTATATCCATTGGAACAAAAACCCCTGAAGGATCCAGGATCCTTTTTTTTTTTTTAAATATCCATAGAAAGTTTGTATCTAAAGGAAAAAAATATTCTTGAAACTTGTGATTGTAAGAATATGTAATAAAACCCTTTGACTTTAGGAACATTTGGATTTGGAAAACATATGATCCTAGTAAAATAGGACCAGTGACACTCATGAGTACCCTATAATCTATGAATCAGTTACTTTAGACCCATTGAAGAGGACCCAAAGAACATGGAATCTTTGGAAGTAAAGGATTTGGGATCGTAGGAACCACGAAACACTGTTTTTTTTAGGGAATACAGGGGATATTGTAAAACCTAAAGACTCTGGGAACATTGGAAATATGGAACATGAACCATCTGGAACAGTGGACCATGAAGCCACCCTTGAATTAGAGGAATGTTTCCTGATCCACAAAGAGAGTTCACATGAAAGCACTCACTTTGGGACACCCATGACTGAACTCATGAGTTGCAATATTTATTTCTACGTGGCATTATGATGAGGATCAGTTCCTCTAAATCTGAGGCCATGGTCTTGAGCCGGAAAAGGGTAGAGTGCCCTCTCCGGATCGGGGAGGAGGCCCTGCCCCAAGTGGAGGAGTTCAAGTATCTTGGGGTCTTGTTCATGAATGAGGGAAAAATGGAAAGAGAGATCGATAGGCGGACAGGTGCAGCATCTGCAGTGAAGCGGGCGCTGTACCGGTCTGTCATGGTGAAGAGAGAGCCGAGTCAAAAGGCGAAGCTCTCAATTTACCGGTCGATCTACGTTCCTACCCTCATCTATGGTCATGAGCTTTGGGTTGTGACCGAAAGAACGAGATCTCGGATACAAGCGGCCAAAATGAGTTATATACAAAAAGAGAGATAGGGTGAGAAGCTCGGCCATCCGGGAGGCACTTAAGAGTAGAGCTGCTGCTTCTCCATATCAAGAGGAGCCAGTTGAGGTGGTTCGGGCATCTGGTTAGGATGCTTCCTGTACGCCTCCCTGGTGAGGTGTTCCAGACACGTCCCACTGGGAGGAGACCCAGGGGAAGACCCAGGACACGCTGGAGGGACTATGTTTCTCGGATGGCCTGGGAACGCCTTGGGATTCCCCTGGAGGAGCTGGACCAAGTGGCTGGGGAGAAAGAAGTCTGGGCCTCCCTACTTAAGCTGCTACCCCCGCGACCCGACCCCAGATAAGTAGAAGAAAATGGATGGATGGATGTGACATTATGACCCTACACACCATGTGAAATTTGTCATAGTTACCATACAGATAAGTGAATGGTATCAAGTTAGAGAACAATTTCAGTGAATTTATCTTTGGAAAACTTTAGCTGAAAGTTCTGCTGATGCTACAGTCTGCCGAAAGTGTTTTAGTGTCACTTCTTCAATTAACTGAACATTCACCAAGTGGTGTCAGGTATACATTTAACAGTGCTGTTTAAAATATAAATATGTATCTAGACAGAAAACCAAAGGTTTGATTTTGCTTCTTTCAAGCTGGCCACACTTCGGTATGTTCGTTGGAAATGTTGACTTCAGAGCTATGCACCAGACGGAGACGGTCAGATGGTGTTTCGGTATTTTCTTGGCTCTCTCTGTTCCTTCAGGTCTCTAAAGTCATGAGTGTTTGGGAAAAGCACATAACAAAAAAAGTCCAAATTTCTTCCAAATCCACCTTTCCTTCTGTCGGAGCGCACCGTAAAAATTGAAAGACGCATTTCCTTAAAAGGGACTTTCAGATGCTGCATGAAACTGACATGCAAAAGTCCAGTAAAAAGTCCAATCTGTTAAGAATGTCTGGCATAAACTGCTGCTTTCAGTAGTTTGCTTGCTTATTTTCCACTACTGCTTCATGTAAGGCTTGTTTTTGCCAATCAGTGACGATTCTTTTCAGTGGCGATCCCTCAGATTGTTCTGAAGTCTGAATGGCACCAGACCACATGTTCACATTTAAATCCTTCAGTATACAGAAGTTTGCACACGTGTCTTTGATTGTGATTCTTATTATGCACGAAATCCTCTTCTGTGCTTTGTTCTCCTGTAACAGCAACATACACCCAGCAGCACCGCAAGGACAACCAATACTGAAAACACCGCTACAACAACTAGTGTGTAGTTTGTGGGGGGTGGTTGGTGGCACATTTCCTTGGTCACCCTTTCAATGTTGACCGGCTCAGAGTGCTCCGAGTGAACGCAGGTCACTATTTCGATGTCGGGAACGATGACGGAAGAGTGCTGCATCATGTGGAGGAAGGCGAGGTTGTCGCAGCAGCTCAGAGGGTTGAAGCCCATGTAGAGGGTCTTTAGGGAGTGTTCCAGGGCGAGGATGGTAGAGTGGTCCAGGGTTACCAAGTTGTTGTTCTGTAGGTTGAGGGACTCAATGGCAGACTCTTTGCTCCATGTTGGAAGAGTGTTCAGCTGGTTGGTGGACAGGTCAACATGTTTGAGACACTTCAGTAAGGACAGGTCTGGGTTTAGACTGGACATGTTGTTTTCCCTCAGGACGAGGTGGACCAGAGTATGTTCCAGACCAGAGAGCGAGTCTTTGTGGATGTCCAAGCCCGGGTTCAGGGACAAGTCGAGTAATTTCAGGGGAGTGTTTGTAAATGCACCGGCAGGGAGGGTCTTTAGATTGTTTTCAGAGAGGTACAGGAAGTGCAAATTGCAAACAGAAGAAAAGGACACGCAGCCAGAGGAATTCTTTTGGTTCGTCAGAGTTGGTTCAAGCTGGTTTTGCTCAGAGCCACAGATCTTCAGATTGTTCTGCTGGAGCTGCAGGTACTTCATGCTCGGCAGTCGTTGAAATATTTGGTGGTCCAGAATCGAGAGGTCGTTTCCTTGTAAGAAGAGCTTTTTCAGCGAAGGCAAAGTGTTTTTACCAAAAGTCAGACTTTGCAGTGAATTATAGCTGAGATTAATAATCTTCACTTTATGTAAAAGGCCTTTAGAAGTGGCAGAAAACGAGCCGATGCAGTTATTACTCACGTTCAGGACCTCGAGGGATTTCATACAGTTAATAAAATACTCTGGGATGCTTTTGAATTTGTTGTAACTCATGTCCAGGTACCTCAAATGATGAAAGATCAAGTTCGTCTGGTTTTCTGGACCACCTGTGTTGTTGACTGTCTGAAGACGGTTCCGTGAAACATCCAGAAACTCAAGCACGTTGTTCTCTGGGAGAAGAGGGAAATAAAGCAGTTTGTTTTCACTCAGATCAAGAGAGCGAAGTTTAAACGAAACGTTTGATTCCACACTTTGGAAAAACTCCACGCTGTTCTTGCTGAGATTTAAAAATGCCAAGTTGAAGAGATTGAAATCCAAAATACACGTGATTGAATTCTTGGACAAATCGAGCTCCGTCAGATTATCCAAGGAGTCAAAAGCCCCGTCTTCGATCTCCAGGATGACGTTGTTGTGGAGGTTGATTTTCCTCAGGGACGCCGCTCCGCCGAAGGTGTTCCGAGTTATTTTGGTGATGCTATTGCTGTTGAGGGAAAGGTTGGCCAGGGATGGGGATTCAGCCAGGAAGAAGTCCGACATACCTGTGTACAAACCGTTGTTTGAAAGGTCTAGAAACTCCACGGCCGTAAGAGGTCCAACGTTTATTTTGGAGTGGGCAAAAACATTTAAATGATTCTTGGAGAGATCCAACACTCTCAGATCCTTCATGTCTCTGAAGAGTCCCGGCTGGATGAAGTGAATCCTGTTGGAATGGAGGTTCAGCCGGTGGAAGCCCGTGTGGAACCCTAAAGTTTCCTCGGTGAGGTTCTGAACCTGATTTCGAGACAGATCCAGCATTTGGACTTGACGAGGAAGGTTAATCGGCACGCCTCTGAGGCTCAGATCACTGCAGAGCACATCCATCTGGACCTATGAACAAAAGACAAACATACAGGTCCGATTAGGCCGGATCGTGGCCGAGGATCAACTCATGAGTCAACGCTTTGGCAGAGATTTTTTTTACATCTGATGAAGAAAAATAAATGTTTCTTTTAAACTGAAATAAAGTTAATCAGCAAGGAAGAAAAAACACCTCCCACTTTTATTACTAGAACTTGTCATGTTCCATCTCTTTTCCACCCTAATAAACTGAGATATTCAGGTTACTGAGTATACTTTCTAATAGAAACCATATGGCAATGGGTTCCAGTGTCCAAAACCAGCTCATAAAGCTGCCTCCTCCCGTTTCTCTCTGAAGCAGAGTTCATTTACTTTCTTGGCAAATTTAATGTGTTGTGAAAGTGGCATTCCTCGCTGCTGACAAGCTGGTTCTAAACAAAAACACAGATCTGTTCTCTGAAGGCCAAAATCTCTCGTATCCGCTATCGCACAAAAGTAGGATATTTTTCCAGTTATTTCCACATTTCATCAGCGATACCTCTGCAGTCTGCGTAGAAGGCAGCAGATTACGCTCATAATCTCTGATAATGTGTATTTAGGTCTTCTTATGTGTAACAACTCATTCCTTTTAAAGCCGGTTGCATTGGGCAAAACTAAACATTAAAAAGTTCATGTTTTTGAAGTTTGACCAGCAAACACGAGGATTCAAGAGTTAAGAGAATTAAAAACTGTCCAGAGTTTGATAATCTACTTAAAGTTCTGCTAACAATGACACCAGAAACAAAAACTAGATTTAACTTTGGGAGAAAAGTTGGAAAACTTGTCTGTTTTCGGGCGGGTGTATCTTCAAGCCTACTCTGTTTTATCACCTAATTCTTCCCTGCTGTCATAAAAGATGGATAATCATGTAAATGTTGTGTCTATGAGTGCGTTTGTCTGTTAGCAAAGTAAATTTCTGATGCACGTCTACAGCTGACTGACATTTAGAGTATTCATGATGGCTGCCACAGCTAATCCACCGTAGCAAACACAAACGACTATAATGTACTTAAGTCATCAAAGTTCATGTTCAATAATCCAGATAAAAAAATCCAACAAAGTTCAGTCAGGTCCTCTGGACGTTTTGTTTTTTTGTTGTTGAAATGTTTCGTCCTTCATCCAAAGGACTTCATCAGTCCGAGGAGACACAAACAAACTCAGTCCCAGTGTGGTGCTTGTGGGACTGAGTTTGTTTGTGGCTCCTTGGACTGATGAAGTCCTTTGGATGAAGGACGAAACATCTCAAAAGAAGAAACCGTCCAGATGATCTGACTGATCGACGCTGGATATACTTCAGTCAGTTGTACGGACATCGGGTAAAGTTTGGTGTGGGAGTAGCCGAGAGTCATCCTCAACACATACTCCAAACACGAACAAATCATGGTAGACGTTTGATTAAAACTTTGACAATAACGGTTGGTGTCAAGATGGCTGCTGCAGCTAATCCATCTTAGCAACACAAAAATGGCTATAACTGTTAATTTATTGACACCGAGCTAAAATCTTAGTGCGATAGTAGCCGAGATTAATACCAGCCACATAATACGAGCGCCAACAGATGTCATGTTTTAATCTTAAGCATGGAAGGCAGCTGGTGGTGTCGTTTACTTAAAAAAAGAAACAAGCATTATGCTTGACGTAAGAGGACATAAAAATAGAAACTAAAGAAATAAACCTGCCATGAAAATGTTTATAAAGATAAAAGATCGACTTTTGTCGCCCTCTCCTGGTTGGTTTAAGATGCTTCAGCATTGGCTTCATTTCTCAGACCCTAAGGCTTCCACATACATATTTACTGATATTTCTGAATTGTTGCTAGATTTATAGCTGTTGATTCTTTCATTTGTAAACTTTGGTTTGTCTTTATGCAATAAATAAAATGTTGAATATAAAAATTAAAGGTTATCGTGCTGTCCTCGTTTATTTTTTTTTTATGTTCAGACACGTTCACAACCACCAGAGTTTTAAAGTATTTAGCACTGAATTTTCCAACTCATTTCCTGAGTCTCACATCAAGGCCCACCCTTCTTTAAATTCGTTATTTAATTTTCCTCAGTTTCTTTATCCCACTGAAATCGCACTAATCTGATGTCTCAGTGAGCAAACAAAGGCAAACACTGCTCAATAATTTAAATCGAGCTTTCTCAAAAAGCACAAAACAGGTCATCCTAACGGCGTTCAATCATTTGTAAAAGAAAAAGGTGTTTAAATTCCACTGATCTACTTTTAGAAGCTCGTTTTGTGCCATGAGGCATACGAGGAGGTCAGTTTTAACAATAATTGGTTTGTTTTGCAGCTCTGTTGGATAGCAACGGTAATGACAGGAAATAACTCCAGGATGGACCCAAACCGGGGATGTTGAAGCTCTTCCTGTGCACAGACAGTGCACGTTACAGAGCTGTACAACCAGGATCATTCTCCTTTATTTGTGACAAAAACATTCACTGGTACACAGAAAAACACCATCTTGCACGAGAAACTGCATCAATATGTCCCAGGAATTTTAATAACGCACAAAATATTCTTTATTTTGACTTAAAACCCGGACCAAGCTGAAAATATTCCCAAATACACAAATCGTTTCCTCCTATTTGAAAGTAATTTGCAAAAGCCTGCATCTACGAGCTGCTTTGGGAACTAACCCGTCTGCTTTTGAGAATAAAAACTTTTGTATTTTGCTCGTTTTAAAAGGACTTCTAACACCAGTAAGATTAAAATGGATTGGAGTCGAGTAAAAAAAAAATGTTTAAAAAAACAGAAAGTATTTGGAGATGTTCCAGAGTGTTGGTTTTGTGAACATTACTGGATTTTCTCCTGACAGTTTTTATAAAATACATAAAGAAAAGGAACGAGAGAGGTCGTCTCTGGGCCACCTCGGCTGTAAAAAGCTGAACTGATCCTCGGGTATTAATAGAAACATTGATGACCACAAAAACGTGACGCAGTTTTACTTTCGGGGTGAAGCTATTTTAAGAAAAGACGACTTGTTTTGTCCGTGCTTTTACTTTCACGGGTTCATCCGAAAAGAATTTAAAAATAAGTGATAAGTTTGTTGAAAACTTTTAGCTTCTTATTTGAGCTGTTTTCCCACATCGGTGTATAAAGTGCGGTTGTATTCCTTTAAAGGGGTAGTCTGGTGATTTTTGAAGGGATTCTGTTCAATTATCAATATTTACTTAATCACGGAAAAATCCAGGCTATGCTAACGGTTAGCCAACTGAAAGCCTATTTTATAAATTGTTTTTCAGGCCTATAAACAAACTCAAAACAAACAAATAAACGTCGGCTATGCTAGCTAAAAGTTTCCTCCACCCCCGGCGCACCGACCCTCAGCACCGTCAGTGTGCCCCGATCCGTCTGCGCGCCGTGTGTTAGCATAGCAACACACAGCGACAAACTAAAACAAACAAGAAAAACTGTAAAAGTTTGATATAACCTAAAAAAATTAAAAAAAATCACAAGAAAACAAACTGGCTAGCCGTTAGCTTAGCCGCTAGCCTAGCCTAGCTGAAAACTTTTGCCTCTCTCTTCATCCTTCGTGCTTTCTAACTGGTCTCGGCTGATGGATACCAACTGCTGACAACCATCACTTCAAACAATGACCAGATGATCACTTTAAACTATAGCCAGTTTAGCCGTTATGCTAGCTGAGCTCACATGCAAATCCCTCTCCCTCCTGACTGTCATCAGGGTTCACATGATCCACCTTGGTGCACGTGACCTCAGCGCATGTGGTGTGGATCAGGCCAACAAACAACAACGATTAAATAATAAAATTAAACAAGAGTTCAGTTCAGCCCCGTTTGTTTTTGTTTACTTTTAGGATCACGTTGTTCCGGATGAACCTACAACAATTTTCACGAGGACACTTCAACTCTGCAGTTCTTCAAACGTCATGAAAAAAAAATCCTCCACTGCTCCTCGGAAACGATGAGTCATCTTTAGGAGGTGACGAGTCACGATTACGGCTTTGATTTGAGACAGATGTTTCAGAATCAAAGCAGCCGATTTCTGAACAGGAAGAATCACAGTTCACCAAAGTTCACAATGAAACCGTCTTTTATCGCCCTCCACCATGGAAGACGGGCGAGCGTGTAATTATGAGTTGTGTAATTAGCGGTGGATGCTCTGAAAGGTGGCGAGAACATTTCTTCAAAGATAGTTCATCCTAAAGCACGTCGCACAAACAAACAAACGTTTAATCATCCAATAAGATCATCACCGAGGCCTTGTGGGTCATTTTGACCCCAGGGCAGCAGGAGGGTTCAATATTCAGCCATTCTTGAGCACAGTTAGATTTAACAGGTAGGAAAGTAACGACGCACCGAAGAGCTGTTCAAAACCGTAAAGCTGAGACTTTAGTTTAGTTGAAGGGATATTACATATCGGACAAAAAACGTTTTACATCGATCTTTCTGAGGACTTCAGATAAAAACACGTTGAATCGTTTTCGAGTAACGTTGCAAAAATTCACGTTTACTTTTATTTTAAATCATAAAATTAAAAAAAAAGGGCTCAAACCAATAACTGCAGAAATAAAAACAACTTTTCAAAATAAAATGAACCGCAGCAGATTTTGAATCCGTTGCCACGGGCAACAATGCAGGTAAAGCTGTAAACACTCACCACTTGGCACGGACGGAGGTGGAGGGGGGCCCGCGGGGTCTGGGGGGGCCGCGCGAACGCCACGGAGCAGCCCACCGACAGCAGGAAGAGCAGCTGGAAGGCGGCCATGGCGCTGCAGAACGCAGGGAGTCCAGAGCAGACGGATCAGAGAGCCCTGAAAGCAGGTTGAAGGTGGCGAGTTAAAAATAAAGCAGCAAGGAAGTGTGCGGCGCGACTCTCTGACCTGTTCATTTATTTATGCCCTAAAACACAGAAAGGGGCTTTTCTGTTTCCTCTCGCCGCCTCGGGCACTTCTCATTAGAACATGACTGAGCGATTAGTTTCTCTGGAAGTTGTCGTTTTCAAATTAAATAAGAGGCCGTTGTTGAACGAGTCGTCATTTTTAGCCCTAAACAAAAACAAAAACAAAGAAAACGTCATGGATGAGGTCATGGTAAGAACCCACGAGGACGTCATGTGATGAACACGCGAAAACTTCACACAATCTAAAAAGTTTTTTTTTTTTTAAAAAAAAGGTAAATCTGTCCCTGACTTTGAACAACAGAGAAATTACTTTTCTTCACTAATCATTATTGAAAACTATAATTCAAACAAAGCTATACCAGATGGCGCAAACCGAGTTTACTCCGGTAGTTTTCCGGATATATTTATACAAAATTCTAAAATGCGGGTACGCATTCGATGTAAACAAAACACTTTTTTATCCGTTTGCTTGAATCAACAAACCCGAGTGCACAGCTACACCAAAACGGACGTCGTGAAACCAAACTCCACGGATGTTGCCACAGTTCACCTGCTTTTAGCCACTTCGGCTGTTTTGGAGAGTAAACAAACACACCTGGTAGGTTAACGGAACCAGAACGGTCAATAAAAATAAAAGATTTAAAAAAAAAAGAAATTAAATTCAAACATTTCTTTCCTCACGTTGACGTGTCTTTGAATTAAAAATGTGTGATGAACTAGCTGGTGTGTTTGTTTACCTACAGAAACAGCCGAAGTGACAGAAAACAGGTGATATTTTTAGAAGAGCAGTTTGGGCTCAAGAAGTCAATTTTAAAATATTTTTACAATTATTATTATTTTTTTAATAAAGCAAGCTGACAAATATTTTTACATGGAGTGCAGACATATAATAATATACAATAATGAACATATTTTGAAATGAAAAGCATAAAAATGTTGACGAAGATGATAAAAGCAGCTAAATATTTGTCTAGTTTTATTTTTAGTTTGTCAGTGAGAGATGTTGAAACAGGAAGTTAATTTTCCACCATTACAGTCGTTTTTGTAGCGTCCCTCATCTCAAAAATACAATATTATAAACTTTCATAACTCCTGGGGCTATACAATACTTTTTAAAAACTTACTCAATTCTTTCTTTTAATTTTATTAATATGTTGATTTCAAAGAGGTGCTGCAGCACCACCAGCGCCCACAGTTCATCCTTCATTTAAACCCCGCTTTAAACATAAAAAGTATCAAAATTAAAAAAGGGACAATTCTGATGTTTCAAAGTCCATTTAATATTCATCGTCTGAACTCAAAAGATTTATTTACACCTCCCCTGTATTACGTGTGATCCGACCGCAGGTTTAAAATCCCACAACAGAGTAACCTTTGAAGTCGACCAGAGAAACCACGTGGCTGCAGCGCGCGTGAAACATGCGTTCTGCACACGGGAAGCGGCGCCGGAACCGTTTCCACATGTTTGTGCGTTTGTTTTTCTTCTGTTAGGACCGTTTCACTCAAAATAAATTATAGAAGCAGAAAGAAATGCTTTCCGAGAATTCATTTTTTGTCGGGAAGAATGCATATCGCCCGCCGCCTGTCAGACTGAGCTCATGTGATCCGATGACAGATTGAGCTGTTCAGGAAAAGTCTTAAAAAAATACAATCATAAAAGCTTGGCCCTAAAAAGGAAAGATTCGTGGACGCACATCCAGCGATTACTTTCTGAGAGTTTCATTCAAATCCATCCAGGCGTTCAGGAGATATTTTGCTAACAGACAGAACAGAACATTGTGTAGCGACAGGCGAAAATAGTCTATTTTAGAACTTAATTTTATGATTTCTTAATGAGTTCTGGTACGAATATAAATCATTTTAAAGTAACTGCAGCTGTTGAATGAATGAAAAGCAGCAAAACGGACATTTTTTAAAGCTCTTAGACAAAAAGTAGAAGAAATGTTTAAAAGAAAAAAAACGATTTAGTTAAAAACGAACATTCAACCACTTATTTTCAGCACTTTTTCCAACGTGAAAACAAAGTTTTGTTTGTTTTCTGTTATAAATCTTCTTCTCAGCCGCTTGGATTTTAATTTGGTCTCTTTAGACACTTGCAGCTTCGGTCACAGATTAAAGTTGCAGGAAACGGAGCTTAAACGTTTAAAAATGTAAACGAAGATAAAACGAGAGGAGAAAGAATTCCTCTTCACTAGAAGCTGTAAACTTCGGCATCTTTTTGAGGAAACATCTGGCTGTTTCTTTAAGCGCGCACACGGGATGTGAAGCGTTTTTCTCCTGTAAGAACTTGGACGTTTACCTCGGAGGACGACTGGTCTCAGCTCCACCGGACCGAGCGGACCTCACATCCTCAGAGCCCGGTTCTGGGTCCAGTCGCTCCAGCTGCTGAGTCCGGCCGTCGACATCCTGTCACAACATCCCTCTGCCTCTTCCTCCTCCCACTGCTCGGGGGAAACGCCAAATAAAGGACGGGTCCGAGCAGAAGCCCCTCCTCCTCCGCCCGGAACGTTTCCTCAGAAAAACACCGGCTCAGCTTGGAAGTCGAAGCTTCTCTTACACCGTTATCTCGGTCTTTTCTGCCATTTTTAAATAATAACCTCATTAAGAAACGGTTGAGTAAAGATCCACAAGTTTGTGTGAGGAAGAGGAGAAATTGAAGGAATGCACGTCACCCGCCGCCCCTAATGTTAGAGTGTTAGACTAAAATCACCCACTGGAGCTGCTTTGGTCAAACCTGGTAAATAAAATTAAAGGCGTCTCACACTCTGAGCTCAAAGTATGCGTCATGAACAACTCAAAGCTACTACCACACAGAGACTTCGCTCAACATCTGTAAAAATCACTGAGCCGTGGCCATTTTTGTGTTTGATCAAGTCAGTGAGCTGTGGCGAGAATCTTAAATCAGGTCGACTCTAAAAGTTAATCAGATGTAGAAGGAAATCCGGTGATTGTCTCCTGAAAGTTTTATTAAAATCCGTCCTGTGGTTCAGGAGATAGTTTGCTAACAGACAAACAGAGTGGACCCCAAAAGTTAATGTCAGTTTCCGAGGCAGATCTCGCACGGTCAGTTAGCGCTCAGTCTCAGCTACTACCAAACTGAATTTTAAATCAAAATCTGTAAAAATTACTGAAATGTGGCTTTTTAGTGTTGGGAAAGGTCGATTAGCTGTGGCGGCCATCTTGAATCAAGTTGACTCAATAAGTTTAAAAGTTGTATTTGTTCATCCAGTGATTATCTCCTGAAAGTTTTATTAAAATCCGCCCAGTGGTTGATGAGATATTTTGCTAACAGACAGGCACGCCGAAGCCTGTGGAGATGAAGTGGATCAGATCTCTGGCTTATCAAAATAAATAAACAAAGAAAACAAAGAGTTGTTTTTAAATGACCAGACAAAGGATGATCCATTTTGATTAATTTTGATTTTCAGGTCCAGTTAAAACATCCATGGTTACGTCTGTCCGTCTGTTAGCAAAATATCTCGTGAACCGCAGATTAGAATGTAAGACAAAAAAAAAAAGTCATTAGATGTACAACTTGTACTCGATTCAAGATGGCCGCCGCAGGTATTCGACCTTAGCAAACAAACAAACAAACAAAAAAAAAAAAGTACGGCTCAGTCACTTTGACAGACGCTGAGCTCACGGTTGCGGTGGTACTGGTTGAGGGCCATAC